TTCATAAATACTTCAATATCACAATCCATGGTTGTTGTAAAACGTCGTAATGCGAGTAACGAAAACGGACTATTCTCTCTTTTACGGCGGCGGAATATAAAGGCAATTTTGCAATAACGACAGATCGCAATTTGAATGACTACCAGAAAATCTATAAATAAGTCATTCTGTGCTAAATAATCTAAGATAAAGAATATCTTCATATCTTAAAGACTAGGTAAAAAACAAGAACATTTGCGATCGTTGAGATTAATCTGACTGATGAAGGTTTTTATCTTAAATACCTATATCTTAAATAGGTAAAAAGATGTTGGATTCAAGTTTTTGTTTTGTTTATTTGTTTAGAATATACGTGTTACTTTTTATTTTATTTTTATAACTTTCGAATATATAATGCTATGTTTTTTTTCTCGTTTAGATGTACCTATATGATGTAAGTATGTACCTATTAGGTACTCACTTTCTATTAGATAATGTTATTTTTGTTGTAATTTTCTCTTCCTACTCCTACATTATACCTTAAAAATAGGTAAAGGTAAATAATCCGTACTAGACTGGAACAAGATTATGCATGACGAAATTGTGATACATTTGCGAGATTTTCGTACGAGACGCGAGACCAGACAAGACTCGTGACTGCGGGACGAGACTCGAGACAAGAATTCATATTTCATCGGCGAGACGAGACGAGACTTTATGAAAGTCTCGTCTCGTTGGTCTCGTGTGAAGCACTAAGATATTGCTCATCATTTTAACATAATAGGAAATATATAGTTATCAATTATACAAGGAAAGAAAGTAGTAGATTTTAGCTCGAAGTGTGATGTCTACCGACGCGTAGCGAAGAGAGACAAAAAAACGTGAGCGAAAATCTAATATTTTTATATTTTTTCTCGGTGACAGGAAGGAGGATGAATCAATATTGGGAAGATTTAACATTACATTGAAATCTGAAAATTATCAACATAAAATATGGGGTTTTCAACAGGAATTACCTACACCTGCGGTGCAGACACCTTTTTGCAGGCATCTTATAATTATTCTTTTGAAGTAATCAAAGACCTATCAGTCTAATTCTGTGACTGTATCCTGAAAAGCAGTATTTTCTCGGAAACGGTGTTATTTATTGGCATATTTTTCTGAACTAGCACAACACAAGCCATACACATTGAATTAATATATATCTAGGGAAAAACTCATTCATGAAAAGTGACATTTTCTAATTTGTGCAGAGATAAAATATATTTTTTCTACAAACGTCAAAAAATGACAAGGTTCGCGCATTGATAACAAATTGCGAAGTGACACTTTTTTTCAGTTTCCTACGTTACCATGATACCTTGCACCAAACAATGCGCGAAGTAAAACAGTGCGCGAAGTACCTACTTCGCGCATTGTTATATGTAAAATATATGAGATATTTATATTTCCACTTCATGGTCCTTGATCGAGCCAACATCCACGAAATCATCTATTTCTGAATATTCGACAATAACTTTGTTTTATCTCTTGGAGTGCACGTAAGAAAATTACTATTATGTTCGTGGAACATCGTGCGTACCTAGGGAGGAAAGGGGGAGGTCTTTTAAGCCAGTTCAACACTATTTTTCATATCGAGCTGAGCATATTTTTACTTTATTAGAACTATGTTTTTTGACGTTTGTAGAAAAAATGTTGTTTGCAACTCGAGCGCGAAATACTTTGGTCATCTCGACGCCTCGTTAAAAAAATCAGATCTTGATCACCAAAGTAGCATTTCGCGCTCTAGATACAAAAATAACTATTTTTTGTCACAGAACAAAATAATGTTCCATATAGTATTGACATGTAACTATATTAGTATATAGATATGTTGAATGTTAACAATTATCATAAGTAATATCACGATGTTCTCAAAATCATATAGATAATTATGTTGCCGAGCAATACCACGAGTCCGTCAGTCAACACAATTGAGTTAACAATGGAAGACAGAATTATGAGTCTTACTTTCCATAGACAGTTAGTGTTTTCACGATAACACAAGTTTTCTGTGGCTTTAGTGATTGGTCAGATTATGTAAGAATTCCAAGATGATTGAAATAACTACGAAATAGCCACAATGCTCAAAGTGGAATAAATTGTTGAATGAATGCAAAAAGCTCAAAGTCATTTCCACATAGTGTTCATAAAATGAACAACAATGGCAGATTTCGGGAGAAAAACAACTACTTCCCTGGCTAATGCCACGCAGGATATTGAATTACATCCTCCCGAAATCTATGCATCGACTCGTATAAACGAATACTGATGCAAGTGATTCTTTCCTGAATGCCTATTGATTTCGATTAAGTTAGGCCGCTCGACAACCACAGACCGGTTTCGAGCTCTTTGACTCACATCAGTGCAGTGTAGTCTCCAGCCAGCAGTCCTAAGACCGCCGACTCAGCGAAGCCTATAGCCAAACAAAAATCAAGCATTATATCCACCCCGAGGCGTCTTTCATCGACAAAATGAAAGTAAAGCCATCTGAGTAGAACAGAGGAAAGAATCACTCCAAAACTGAAATTCCCATACGGGAGTGGCTGGTTGCCCGACTGGCGTAATTTCAACTACGAAATAGCCGCACTGCTCAAAGTGGAATGAAATGTTAAATAAATGCGAATGCTCAAAGTCATTTCCATATTTGCTTTCAATTCTCCACTTCGATGAGGATCACAGTTAGCTGATTGAAGTTAGTTGAAAACAATGAGCAAAACACTTGATTCTTCAGCAGTGATCAGACTATGGAGAATATAAACTGATAAGCATTATCTAAGAGGGCAAATCGCCCTCGATAATCATTCGTGAATCATTTTTAGCCTGTTCGCTTTCATTGTTAAACTTGCGAAAGTTGATTTTTCCCATAGTTGTCTCCGTTCATGGCATGATGTATACAGAGAAAAAAATCAAGTTCAGCAGATAGACCAAGCACAAGCGAACAGGACTTTTGTGTCGACATGAATTTCTACGTAAGATGACAATGAATTGCAGATTCCTATAGCGATATCCTTCCTCCCAAATTGGATGTTCGCAGTGGTATTGAGCAAGACTGAATCTGGAAGTCGATAGAAATTTCATTGCTTCAATGATGCTCTAGTATCGAGGTGAAATTTAACCTGGAAAACAATACTCCATTATCATTCTTCAGACGTTTCAACTACGCGGAGGTAAAATAATCATAGGTTTCTTTCAAATGTCCTTTTCCAAGATGAAGATGCAGAACAGCTCATCGAATTCAATGTTTCCTGTTTCCTCTGGAAAAGGTGCTGTGGGCATTTCGAAAGATATTAGAGTCAGCTTATCTTTATTTCTTCTTCAGTTCTACTGAGAAGGGTCACTAGGTCGTTTTTTTAATATTCTCCATTCGATTATTGAAACACAGTCTGAAGAATTTCACACATGAATAATATTATTGACTGACAGATAATACTCTCAATCAGCTCCAAATATGAATTTCCATATAAGGAGACCATTTCTATCGAGATTATCCTATTCATGAATTTGATGGATCAGAAACTTGATGATTTACGTTTACGGTTAACATACAAATTATTATCAATTATGAATATTTCGAAACGGAGTAATGGAATTGAAAATATAGTAAATCAATTTTCCATCGCATGAAAAGTGTTTGTGACCCGGGCTCAAGACGCCAAATGGATATTGCTGATACGGTTTCCATATAATTCGTTCCCTGAACTAATAATTCCCTATTTAACGTTCATTTCACCATCTTTACAGGGATTGAAAGTCTCGTTAGCTGTTAACTCTCGACCACAAGTAGAACATCTTGCGAATGTAAAATTTGGTAGCTGAATTATCACAGAAGCACGCAAGAATATAATATACCTCCTGAAATATCAGTGGCGTGTAGTCGAAAAATGAAGATGTTAGACCAGTTTTTTGGTCCACACAACTTAGTGTCAATTCAGGTCCACACCGGATTGTGTAATCCTTGTATTGCAACCTTTTTGATTAGACACAAAATGTCTCAGGAGTATGAAAAATGTTCGAGAAATCATGTACACAATTTTGACTGACATTGATCAAAATTTGAGTCCTTGATAAAACTAATTGTGCATTATATTTTGACGAGAAGTTTCTCTCAATAGGATTTTTCACCGTGTATGTTTTCATCACATAGAGAATGCGAATTCTAGGTGTATTCATTTGAATTTATCCATTTTTCCATGTTCATAATATATCTGAGAATAGGTAGTCGTCTCCTATTTGTCGATTTTTGACAAGCGAGGTGTTGATGAATTCAGAATGGCATTCTTGATCAAACGGAAACGCTCTGGAATTCATTGCCTAAGGAAGTATTCCCAAGAATTCATGATCTCCAATGGTTTAAAGAAAATCCATCACTCACCTCTGCTCCCTATCCTCTCTAGGTACGCACGATGTTCTTAGAATATTATAGGGATTCTCTTTCGTGCGCACCAAGCGATAAAAAGTAAGTAAACATATACATAGGATGTCCCATTCAAAGATCGAAAGGTGAGGCCGTTTCCGGTCAAATCGGAAGTAGAGCAAAGCAAGAGATAATGTCAAAGAATTTAAATTGAACGGTTTCACACAATCCCTGAATTTCTTTTTCGTAACTCCAATAATAAAAAAGTTATGGACCATTTCCTGGTTTATGAACTATATCTTACAGAGGAAAGCTCATTGAGCTCAGTCAACGAAACATAAATATGATCTATGCTATGTTGAGACCTGAACTAGAAATCACACCTGAGTACAAAAAATAACCGCCAGAGCAATTGCGTAGACAATCAGTATCAAATTGTTGGTAAGAAGAGACTATCGAATAATCTTTATGATCCACACAAACCATCATGGTTTCCATATTCCGAAAACATAGAAATCATCATCATCGGTGGCCAGGTAGCCGTGCGGACAGAGTGTCTATATTCTGATTCGCATTCGCTTACCGGTCATGGGTTCGATCCCCGTCGACTGCAGAAATTTTTCTGATGGCCCAAGAAAGTGTTTGGGATCACACGTTGAAAGGTAAGGCCCCCGTCATTCCTTGCTCGCACAAGACTTTCGAAGACTTTTGAGGGTTGCTCGTAAGGGGGCAACCGAATGACGGATAGAACAAATTTTTGAACAAACAAACAAACAAAACAAACATCTACATTTCTTCAACTTCAACAATGATGACGTACAAAAATGCTCATTACATGTACATTGTGAATTAGGACTTCAACAATTTGAAGAAGATACGATTCTGAGAATGAAATGTCATATGTATACATAATATATTCGTAGGAGACCCTTTTCCGATATGGAGGTGCGATACATTTTTATATTTTTCTATTTAGTGTTTTTCAAGTTTGCCACAGAGTTCCACTAACACACCTTATGAAAGCTCTCGATCATTCCAGGTCTTCTACAAGAAATGTCGAATGTATTCGAAAAATGAAGTTTGTTTATAAATTATTATTTTTTGCATTTATCTCGAGATCCATACAGTTTCTGGTAATCATACAGGAGAGCAGAAAGTATCCAACTGAAAGAGATAATATTGATGAGAGAAAAGATATAGGTGAAAAATTGGTTTAGCATTTTTTCGATACTCTCAATATATATGAGTACGCACGCCACTGTTTGGAAAAACACGCAAACATTAACAAACACTTTGCGGCGAACCGTTGCACCCTATTGTGCACCCTTTCAGTATTATACCCACTCGAAATAAATTATACTTCTAAATGTGTGCCCATAAATCAAAACTCTAATGATTTTATAGTTCCCATTCGAAATGCAAATCCATTGCTTTTCGTCGTCGGGCAAATTTGTCATGGTGGGATTCTTGCAATTTTGAAAACACCCCAATAGTTTTCACAATGGGAATATTTCATTTAGCTTTATTGCATCAGAGTGTTTGTCGTTGCGGTTTCAGCCTCAGTTGTTAGTACTAAGCGGATTATGATTTGGGATGTTTATGATGCCGTATTGTACACCAACACAAATCCTCAATTAATGATCAATTATTCTTTACCGTCAAGTGTTTCTGTCGAGTAATATCAATAGGAATTTGATAACGGGATCAACGATTTTGGTTGAATACCTATGTTGATTACCAACATTGTGTTCATTATTGCACATGCACGTAGGTATATAAAATAGTTGCGAGTAGTAATGATATTGAGGTTAAATCGTTTTTTGAGTTATTCCATTCTATTATAACCTTATATTCGAGTAATTTGGATATCTTCCAATGCTATCTGTTGGTTAATCGAGGAGGTGGAACATTCATTTCTAATTTGTTTTTATAATCTCGAGAATTTAGACTTAGAGCAATGGCTGCATTTGTTTCCTGTTAGCGTGCACTCTTACTCTACTTCTTTTTTGAACTTTCTTTCATGATCATGAGTTTGTAGACTGTTTTTCGATTTTTCATTTGTTTTTCTTATATTCACACTGATGCTGTCAATTTTATTATTTACCAGAAGTATATTCGGAATGGTATTGAGTCGTTATTGACAAATACCTACTAGACTCGAGTGCCATTCCTGCGAATCTCTGATCAGAACGGTGGAATCTGGATAATTACAACAGAGGTGGTTCATAAATTTACGAAAACTACCTTGATAGTAAAAACATACCCTAACAACACAGGGATGTCCTAGGTGCGTCCCTTTTTTGTCCCGCGGTACAAGGAAATGATTGGGACATCCAGGGGATGTCCCGCCAGTAGTTGTCCAGTGGACATCCCACCCGGTACATCCCTAGGTTATCCCATTTGTGTCCCTGGAATATCTGATCTCCATTCTTCACATCAGAGAGTCATTCAATATCATCAAAATATTGAGTCGAATTTTTTCGAAAATGTATTTCTTCCGGAAAATAATTGTGATGAAAATAAAGAATATAGTCTCAAAACTTCTCAAGAAATGACCATTTTTCGCAAACAGAGATCGTAAATGCATAATGCCCCTCATTTTCAAACACCCAAGAATGATAATAATCATACCCGAATCCTAACAGTTTTATTTATCCAGGTTTCTGTAGTTGTCCTGTTTATAAATCTGTTCAATACATGAATCTTCAGAAGGCATATTGGCCAATGTAGTAAGGTGCGTGCCTGATAAGCTGAAGGTCCCGGGTTCAATCCCAACTAGACCTACATTTTTTCTTTTGTCGAAGGGATGTCCCTGGGATATCCTTGGGACGTCCTAGGGATATCCCTTCTTTGTACTCGGTACATCCCAGGGACGTACCAGGGGGGGCATCCCTTGGATGTCCTTTTTGTCTGAAAGCGGATGTCCCTGGGACGTCCCTAGTATGTACTTTGTCCCAGAAAATATATCCCTGGGATGTCCTTATTTGAAATTAGGGACGTCCCTGGGAAGTCACTAGGATGTACTCGTGTTGTTAGGGTACTTTACGCCTCGAAAAGAAGTAAATAATGGTAGGTTTCATAGCTAGTGGTTGAAAATATAAATATAAGTTCAGTTGCCTAATACGCACATTCAGATTGCTTGAAATTTCAAATTTCCGCAAGAATATATTGGAAAAATATATTCTTATGTGTGAGCTAATCCAAATATTCGATTCTTGAAATTTAATTATTATTATACTATGCTGTAGTTACTACTGATAGATTGAGTTATTTGAAACGTATACACATCATTTCGAATCTTGGTAATACTTACTATTTGTGTGAATGTTATATCTATCTATATCATTCTGCTCCTAATTTTAATTGTTAGTCATTGAATACAGATTATTTATCGAATCGTTACATAGGTAGTATTTAAAAGGGATTGCATTTGACAACATGGCATTTACGGAGAGCAATGAACGATCACAGTTACACATGTTGGGCGCATAATGAATGCCAGGTTTCATTTTGTTCAGATATTACAGCGGAAACTGGCGGAGATGTACGATACGGAAATCAGTCTTTTGCTATGTTACTAATCGCTTGCCCCATATAGTGTGTATGGCCAATTGATGGCTAAAAATATAAGTTTCAGCCATCAATTAAATTAAATCCGATAACGATTGGGCAAACAATCAGTTGGTATATTATATTCATGAGTTCTCATATAGAAACTTGAAACTTATTATTGCAGAGCAGGTTTGTATCTTCAAATTTGAAGAATTATTACCCGCAGACAAAACACAAGCATGCCTTTTCTCTAGAAAAGCCGATCTCACTGTGCCCAACATAAGCTTGTCAGGAGTAACCATACCTTTGAAGACATCCATTTCGATGCTTGATATTACTATCAGCAATAACCTTTCTTGGGAAAATCACGTGAGATCAAATGATAAAAGTGCATCCCATGCAAAAACTTTCTGTTTCGGGCCAGGAGCTATTTCACTTTCAGTCAGCTGTTCATGATCTATAAGGCACAGATCCGACCTGTCCTAGAATATTGTTCCCATATTTGGAGTGCAGCACCCAAACATACCCTGAAACTGTTGAATTCTGTCCAAAAATGGGCAATTAGTCTCGTGGGTGATGCCTCGCTCACAAAACTCACTCACTTTTCTGGAGCACCGTAGAAAAGTTGGCGATCTGGCTCTATTTTATAGATATTTTCATGGACGATGCTCTTCTGGAATATCAAAAATTGTTCCTCCTTGGCAGTCCCCGCGAGATTAACCCGTCGAGTTGAGGCTTCGCACCCCTTCGTGCATGGTCACTTTGGAGACCTGCAGAACATCTCTTTCCAAAGACTTGTTTATCCAACGAACAGCGAGGCCCTGGAACACATTGCCAAGGGAGGTGTTCCCTGAGGCATATAACCCCCAGGAATTCGAAGAGAATACCAATTCTCACCTTATTTCCCTTGGTTCTCACGATGTTCTCTGAAAATTACAGGATATCCCTCTCCGTGGAAACCAGAACATTAAAAAAAGATAAGATCCTATCGTTTTGGAGTTTGTCACATTTTTTCATTTCATCAAATTTCAATTCAGGCAGAACAAATGAGTGTTATTATAATTATTCACTATTGGTACAGTGGTGTATGGATAGTTGGAACCCCCTATAATCCGGAATGCTCTATATAATCTGAGCACTCTTCTTCAATCCGAACTAATAAGAGAGTGCAAGTTAGTCTTACTTCGCCGCGTATTTGAGATGTTTTGTCAGTTGTTCGCTGTATTCGCAATGAGAACATGTCACATTAACCCCTGGAAAAGGCTTTGAGCTTTCGTCATCTGGAGTGTGGATGTTCAGTCACGTGTTAGGATTATTGATATCATTTTTTATGAATCCTATAATCCGAAAATTTTTATGGAAAATGATGGAACGGGTCTGCCAACTTTCTGTTGGGATTATCCATACATAACTGTTAATCTAGGTGAATTATAAAATGTGTTTAACATAATGAATTTGCACCAAGAATGAAGTCGTTTCAGTCCCTTTCGAATTTAATTTTTTCATGGATTCAAGTATGCGGAACTGTGAAACAGACTGTACATACAGACGGTGGCGAGAATGAAAGTGAAAAAGTTTTTGTGGGCATACACAAGGACCCTCTAGCTAATCATGAGGAGATTAGCGTGGAAAGTGACAGTCACTCTTAATAGGGTGGGCGGGATGAACTTCTCCCTTCAATCCCTCTGTATGACTGGGGTAGTAGATGATTGACCAAATAGAATGGGGAGAAATATATCAGACATCAGTATTCTGTAAATAATAATTTTCCATGTACAGTGTGTCCAGTTTTCGATGCTTTTGCGTGATATCTCAGTTATCTTTCGAGATAGAACCTTGCGGTTTTCGCGGTCCTGTACCACTTTTCTGTGAAACTCAAGATGGCCTAATCAGATTTTGCATAACTGTTTGCGTTTATGAGATACAGGGCGATTTTGAAAATTTATACTTTTTGGACCCCCTCTATATCTACGAAGTTTCTCAGCGGAAATGTCAAATTGGAATCTTATCCCATACAGAATTTCGCGTAGAATTCAGTGGCGCACTCAATTTTTTTTTTCTGGGTATGGTTTCGGAGATACGACTCAAACTTATGATTTTTTAAATGGAACACCCTGTATTTTATAAGCTCATTAAATTCCTTATTTTTTCCCCATCAAAATGAAATATGATGAATAGGTATAAAATTTTCAAAAATGCTCCAAAATCACTAAAACATTGAATTTTAATTATGGGCTATGGATTTTTCATTTAAAAAAGTTCCAATTGAAGGGATATTTCATTTGATTCTTCCATAAAAAGGACAAAAACAATCCCAACACTAGTTAATTAAGATAACACAAAAATTAGGTACCTGATAACAACAAATGAATGGTAATAAAAAGTTCATATGATTTAATATTCACTAAGACAATTGAATAGTAACTTATTCATTGAATTGTTCAAATTGATGTCCTTTTTCCCTCACACGCTTTCTCAATACGTCTTAATGCATTCAAAATCATTAAAGGATGTCTTTGTAATTTCTGGAAAACTGCCTCTGTTGTTGCACAAAGTTCTTCAAGATATTTGTGACTCTTACTGTATCAAGACGTATTGAGAAACTGTGTCAATTATGTGTTATGGAAAATGGAAATCAATTTGAACAATTCAGTGAATAAGTTATTGAATAATTCCGAAATTCAATTGTATTTGTAAATATTTGATCTGGTGCTTATTCTATTTTATGAACTTTTTATTACTATTTATTTGTTGCTATCAGGTACATAATTTTTGTGTTTTCTTAGTTAATTAGTGTTGGTATTGTTTTTGTCCTCTTTATGGAAAAATCAAAATGAATATTCCTTCAATTGGAACTTTTTCATAAGAAAAATCCATAGCCCACTATTAAAATTCAATGTTTCAGTGATTTCAGAGCATTTTTGAAAATTTCATATACATACATTTTAAATCATTTTGAAGAGAAAAAAATGAGGAATTTTATGAGCTTATAAAATACAGGGTGTTCCATTTAAAAAATCATAAGTTAGAGTCGTATCTCCGAAACCATACCCCGAAAAAAAATTTTGAGTGCGCCACTGGATTCTGCGTGAACTTTTATATGGGATGAGATTTTAATTTGACAATTTTGCTGAGAAACTTCGTAGATATAGAGGGGGTCCAAAAAGTATAAATTTTCAAAATCGCCCTGTATCTCATAAACGGAAACAGTTATGCAAAATCTGATTAGGCCATCTTGAGTTTCACAAAAAAGTGGCACACGACCGCGAAACCCGCAAGGTTCTATCTCCAAAGATAACTGAGATATCCCACAAAAGCATGGAAAACTGGACACACTGTACATGTACAGGAATATTTTTGATAATGTGAATCCCCCATTACCTTCATTGTTTTTCACCCTTTCAGAAAATTCCAAAATTATGCTATCCCTTTTTCCCATATACAGGGAATACAGAAATTAATATATTTTTCAAATAAAACGCCCTCTATATTTCAAACGATTTCAAATCATTGAATCATCTCGGAAACATAGATATATACAGATCGATTCTTGTTTATCAAAATATACAGTGCATTTCATTCGAAATATACAGTGTGTGCGATTTTGACCCGCAACACCCTTCTAATTTGGGACCCGTCGAACGATTTTCATAAACGAAAATCCCTCAATATAGTACTCAACGAGCTCTCTACGAAAATGTGCACAAATCTGAAATATTCAGATTATGTTTGTTGAAAAGGTCGAAATATCAAAAACGACTATTAGGCTTTTTTTTTCAAAACAGTGACTATATAGACTATTCGATTCGGGCATATTATATAGATGAAATACCCTTATGCAAAATTTGGTAGCAATATCTCAAATAGGGTATTAGGTAGTTATTCAATGGCAAATTTTGCTATTTTTCATTTTTTGATCCACCCTGTATGGACAAATGAGGAGTTGTCGTATATAACCATTGGAGTAGTTATCGGATAAAGAAACACATCGCATACGATGTTCTATCGTTTTGAGTTCTACAGGTAGATGTCTATGGTTCAGCAAAAAATCAATGAAACTAAATTTGAAAACTATTATAATTCATATATCTTTATGATTGGGTATAATACGAAATTTAACTGTTATTACGATGAAACTTCGTATCTGAGTACCTATTCGATTTGCATGATCCAATATTCAATGATCACCCTACCGGTAATACCAACTTCTTAGATTTAGATACAGAGTGAAACGAAAAATCGAAAATTTGAAATAAATATTTAACACCCTATAAGGGATATTGCGTTGGAATTTTGTGTGGGGGTATTTCAGCTATGCCCAAATCGATTATTTCCCTGAATCCATTACCATTTTGTATTCATATTTTCGGGCAAAAATAAGTATTCATAATGTTTCCAATTTTAGTTTTATTGTTTCTTTTTCCTGAACCATAGACAATAGTCCTGTAGAACTCAGAACGATAGAACGTTTCTTCATCCGATAACCACTCCACCGGTTACGCCAACTCCTCATATTTCCATACAGGGTGGATCAAAAAATCAAAAAAAGCTAAATTTGCCATCTATGCCCGAATTGAATAGTGTATAGTCATTGTTTTGAAAAAAAATGCCTAATAGTCGTTTTTGAAATTTCGACCCCTTCAACAAACAAAAGTAGGCCTTGGAAATCTGAATATTTCACATTAGTCCACATTTTCTAAGAGAGCTCGCTGAGTACTATGTTATGGAATTTTCTTTTTTCAAAATCGTTCAACGGGTTCCAAAGTATATATAGGAGAATGTTGAAATCGCTCACACTGCATGTATATTTCTGTATACCCTGTATATTTGAAGTGATATCTGATGCAACACTTTGTCAATTTGATCGAAGTCAATATGGAAAATTGTGAAAAAATCATATTCGAAAATTATTCAATGGATGAATACCAAAGAAGATGGAGGGAGGTTTACATCAATAAAACTGTAGCCCTGTAAATTACCTCTGAAATTTATATCCGAATTCTGACGAATAATGTTCAATTAAATTTATGTATAACTTGGCAAGGAGTTGAGTTAGCCAGAAAATATGGAGTATCAGAAGTTTTTTCCAGAATAAACCCAGGAACAATGGTGTTGCTATGATAGCTATTTCTTATCATATTTGATTATACAAAAAAAATTGGTAGGTATATATCTGAGCTATTTTTCCAAAGATAAACTACATATAGGTACATATTATACTTGAAAAATATTCCAGGTTGAATAATGTTCACATGTATGTATAGTAGGAATTAGGAAATGCCTATAATATGTTATCCTATTATGTGAAGTATACAAAGTTCAGATAGTCAACTCGGATATTCATGATAATCAGAAGCCAAATAACTTTGATTTAATAGTTCGTTTATTGTATACGGTCTAGAATTGCTGACTCAAGCGATTTATAAGAATAGGTAATGTAATAATATAACCATGTTCAACTTCATGATTCTCAACAATACTGTCAGATGAGCTTTTTATAATGCAGTTATGTTGCTTGTGATTGCTATTGATTAGAATTTCATATTCAAATTGGGAAGGTTTCTTATCATATGTTGAGTTACGTGTTATTTGACTAAAATTTGTACGCATGCGCGTGCGTCCAACATATTATTATATTACGTGATTTATTGTGACCAATGAGACGAAGAAGCTCGGGAATACCACGTTAACTTTATGATCTAGTTGGTTTTACTTAATCTTCGTACCCGAAAAATATTGAATTGAAATATAAGAGATGGAGTGACTAACTGGATAACCAGGTAGAATTTCAGTTTTCTACACATACATCTAAGTATGATCAGTTACCATCAATATTTATTATGCACAATGATATCAGAAAATTCAATTTAATTCATACTACAGGGTAAGTCATGAGGAACTGTACATACTTCTACCACGAATAGAGGAAGCCCCTCAGGGAAATACCGAATGTCCATCAGAAAGTGTCTTCTTCACTTCATTCCCAATATATAGAGTGAATTATGACCTTTGGCAAAAATATTATTTGGTCATAACTTTTCAACAGCTTCTTCGATTCGTCTGATTTTTTCATGGAATATTCCGCTACTACTCTCCAATCGACTGATTTACTCAGAATCGGGAAAATCCAGGACTATTCTTGAAAAATTCTGATAGTTTAGTTAATAGCAAAAAGTTCACCCTGTATATCTTTTTTGTAAACTGATGAGACAGTGATTTTTCGAAGGTCACCCTACACAAACATCAGAAATAGAACATTCCAAATTTTCCTCACTTTTTCACTGCAGTCTGAAAAAAACTATGAATTTTATGAAAAAAAAAACGGAAATTTGGCAAAACATTTATTCATTTGGCAATTAATACTTCGCGATCCATAAACATTTTCAATGCTTCAGCTCAATGGAAATCAACATATGATTTTATTTTCAGGCCTTTTTTTAATTTTTTTTATCGATTGGAGCGCACGAAAGGAAATCCCCATAATGTTCAAAGAACATCGCGCGTTCCTGGATTTAGTAGTTCAATTTTTTTGTGGAGGATAATAATCACTCTGTAGATCTTTTTCGAATGAGTTAATGGGGTATCTGTGGAAATTTTGATGACTACCGCAATGAAGAATTTTATGATTTCAATTCACAGTTTTATTCACTTGATTTGGTCACTTATTTTCCGTACTAGAATTTTTATCCGCCTTTGTCAGTATAGCTTTTTGAAAAATAATTGTGAATTAACCTTTCCATGCATTAATATCTAAACATATACCCCATCCACTGATTTGAAAAAGAGTTACAGGGTGATTATTACCCTCCACAAGAAATGAAATGACTAAATCCAGGCCTGGAAATGAAAGAAAATTTTGATATCAATTGTGCTAAAGCATTGAAAATTTGCGTCTTACTTATATTTGAGAAATTCATGCGTTGCGAAATAATTATTTTCGAATGAATACATCTTTTATCAAACTTTCGTTTCTGCTGATAATTTATCGTTTTTTAAAAATTCTGTCAAAGTGTGAGGATAATTTTGAATATTTTGTTTTTGATGCTTGTTTGTGTGCTTCGAAAATTCCCTGTCACAGTTTACAAAAACCATATACAGGATGAACTTTCCAAAAACGGTCCTAGATTTTCCCGATTCTGGAAATTTCAGTCGATTAGGGTTGAGTTGAGAAATATTCCATGATAAAATCAGATGAATCAGAGGAGGGGAAGAAGATACTTTGTGATGGTCATTAGGTATTCCCCTCAAGAGCCTCTCTCTATTCGTGGAAGAAGTATGTACAATTCCTCATGACTCACCCTGTATATCTCACCAGAAAACATGTATCCAAATGACTCGAAAAAAACTTGTACTTATATTCCTCGAAGGACAAAATGAATATGTAATTCCCGAAGAGTAATGGGTAGATTATTATTTATGGTTTTCCTCTTGTTCCAGAACGAAATGGAAACGACAAACGGCAGTCGGCCTGGAACTGCTTGCAGAGGCGGGCAACTACGCCGCTTTCCAGCGACTGTACGGCGCACCAGCCTACGGTTGCTGGTACCCGCCACAAGGCGCAGGTGCTGTACCGGCGGCAGCTCCTAGTGCAGCCGATCTTTACTACAGGCAGGCTGCTGCAGCGGCAGCGGCGACGCTGCAGAAACCGCTTCCCTACAGGCTGTACCCGCCTGGCATGGGCTTGGGAATCCCCGGACCCAGTGCACACCTAGGTATGTTGAATTGATAGTCATCACGAATAACACGTGATCTATGAATCGCATATACTGGGTGTCAACGAATCCATTAGACAAGTACGTCATAGCTTCTTGAATATATGGCGTATCAAAATGAGGTTTGGTATACGTGAATAGAAAGTGAATTGGAAAAGTTTCGCATATTGTTTACTTTTCGGTGACTTCCGATATCATTGAAACTGATTCCAGGTTCGAAATTTCAAATTAAACACCCCGTTTATTGTTACATTTCTGGATTTCTTAGGCACGTATATCACAGAATGTGACATTTTCAAGAGGACATGACGAAATTCCCACAGTCTACTCCAAGGTCGTGGGTTCGATTCCCAGCACGAGCAAGGAACTTTCTCCAATATTTTATTCACGAATTAAATATTGCAAAGTTTCGGAGCATCGGCTGGTGATAGTCCTGCACGATTCACTCTTGTGTTCCAATTAACAGTGCTGCTCCTGAAGTGGCGCATGGAGTTAGTAACAAAGCCTACACAGAACACGCAGAAAGAGATGATGATGTGGTTGTGAGCATCAGAAAAGAAGTAGGACGGTGTATGTAAGTGGGTGTGAAAAACTACCAGCTGAGCGTGAGAGCGGGCCAGCTGCTTAGTGGACCTCGGTCTCTAACGGGGGTTAACGAGGATAGCTAGCAGGCCTGCCACTGCAGCATATGGTAGTGAGTACATTACTAGCTTACAAAACACAGCCGAAGGGGCTTGCAAAGAGGTCCCATTAGGGACTAGTTGCTGACGTGCAAACGTCCCCCACCAGTACCAGTACCAGTACATAGAAGCACTAGAATAAGAGAAAAATGAAGATAAATGTCAGACAAACACTTCAACAACTACAGTTCATAAGGACTCACCTGTTCTGGAGGAATAAATTATGTTCACATATTATAACAAACATTCAAAAAATGTTTACTAATACATAGTTGGAAAAATAAAATAGAGGGACCGCAATTATTGCGGACCACCCATGTTAGGGGACTGGTTTGTAAAACGTCATGGTGCAATATCCAATAAGAATAAAATTGAAAATTGAACGACCATCTTTTAGTTCTTCTAGATCATACCAAAGGTTCACGACAGACAAGAAAAGATAGAATAATGAGATGTCAAACATCAAACGAATGGCATGATTTTGACATGATGTGACAAGGGTGACATAGAACATCAAATAGAAATAGAGATGGGGAGAATATGGGAATCGAGATGGGACCAATGACAAACTCATGGTTATTGAATCTCTAAGTATTGAATTAGTCTCATTTAGTGAAAAGCAGAGATTTGATTAGGTGAATGTAAGAGTGTTGAAAAGCTTGAAACAGTCAAAGTGGGTTCGTTCATTGATATATGTCATTTAAGGATTCTTTAAGGCCCATGAATATCAAAATTTTCTATTAGTTTGAGTTCTTCTGCTTCTTTGACAGAAATGTAAGCATTAAAGGATCAAATTTGGATCAAAGGGATGTTTGAACAATCTCAAGACTTTCAACGCCCTCTTCATTTGGCAGAGTCACTAACAATACTCATTGGATAAAATGAGGGAACTTTCACCCTCTGTCCATAAAACTAATGTCACTGTATTTTTTTTGAGTGCGACTAAAGATGACTTCATGAAAATGACTTCATAATTGTTTTGCATCATTGCTAATCGTGGCACACTCGACAAAAGTACTATATGAATCATTCTCCAGTATTTGCCTTAGTAATATTGATATAATAAAAGTATTCCCATCAACTTATAACCTCCAAAAGTTGAAAATATTCAATACCTACCTCCTCTTCCTATTCTCCCTATAGGTAGGTACGCACGATGTTATTCGAACATCATAAGAACTTCCTCTCGTGCGCTCCAGGAGATGAAAAATAGTGTTTGTTTTCGATCCAATCTCGAATAAATTAATATATCATTGGATTTGAGGTGGAATATTTTTTCCGGGAAGTGTTTGTGAAATAATGGTCAAAATTTGGAAAAAATCGTATAGTGATCATTACAAAACTTCGTTTACCAACATCACCTGTGGTTCTCAAAAAAGTTCACTCCTGATCATGGCTACCTAGATGCAGAATGTGAATCTAAAGAAATGAAGTAGGCGTAAACTCATTTGGAAATGTTACATTCTCATCCTTGATCGTCTCAGGAATCCAAAAATGTTACAATATACAGTGTGTTCTAATTTAAAATTGAAAACTGGTACCACTCCAGGTGGAACCGGCAATGATCAAGAAGTGAAGAGAATGCGAGAACTCTCCACTTCACATACAATTTTTCTAAACCGAACCTCATCTCGATACACTCAATATTCTAGAGGTTATGACTCGACTAATAGTTTCGATGACAGCCGGTATACAAGATATTTCAGGAAGAAAATATGTAAAAACCGCATACTTGAGGGAAGGGTACGACCTCATTCACAAGTAGAGAGCATCAGAATATGTCAATTGTCGTATAATACCAGAAGATCAATATTCTGTATATTGATGGAGTTATACCTATTAAGTTGTTCTGACGATTTGACTGTCAGACAGAGAGGCCCACATCAGACTGTTTTGTCAATCTGAGCTCTCCTATTGTCGGTCAGTATTCGAAAAAGTGTATCTCAAATATATTGTAATTTTCCAGAAATGAAAAAAAATTCCGAAGGTTTTCCACAATGAAATTATGACAATATTTTTTGAGAGCACGTGAAAATCCAATGAGTAACATATACTGAGGGGTTGACTCAAAGAACCGAAAAGAATGTGGTAGGTATGCTTGTGACCGACAACATAATATCCACATGTCTCTCGCCTCAATTAACATTTCGAATATTCATTACCTTCAGAAGAGGTCCCGATTTCTGTCCTTACCTCGTCAGTTGAATTGCAGGCCTATGGTTTTAAATTCTAGTGAACTACATATTCAGCAGGTAAACTTATCATCTATACGCCAATCGACTATAGATAACTACAAATTCCATTGTATTATTCGATTATGCAGTATGTAAGTATATTGTATGAAATTGAAAAAACTCCATATGATTTTTGTAATTCTTCCACATCAGGATTGGAATTCGTGTTCTAAAATTGCATTTGATCACTCCAAATTAACATATTCACTTCAGTGATATCAATTAACATTGATCCACCCTGACGAAATTCTAATTAATTCATTGTCAGGGTTCTGTGAAGCAAAACGATCCTGACTCATTCCAGAAGGATTGGATATGTAATACAAAAAAATGGAATTAATGATTCGGTATTCGTGGTCACTGAATCTGTCAAATTACTCCTAATTTAGTGACGCCAAATCAGATTTGTTCTCTAATTGGGATGATATATCGCTTACCTTCCACGACAATACTATACTTTCATATCATTACCCTGAAAGAACAGATATTATTATTATTCCATTGTTATGGAAAAACAGTTACACATTTATGAATTATTCATCACACTATAGTTATGATAAGTAGGCTGGAACTATACACACATCATTCATGAAACCACTGATAAAAAAATACTCATGAAATGTTCCGAAAATATCTCTTCATTACTGATATAATAAGTCCATTGAATACGCTATTTCGATTGAACATTGCGAAGAAATTAAACTTCACAGAATTATCAGCATAGCTAATTGTTTCACTTGATTTTTTGGGATTTTCTCTCCTCGTTTCTATAAAATAAAAATTTGCAAATTATTTCAATATAATAGGACAAATCAGATGATTTGCCCCAAAATGTCACTGCGTTTAACCAATTTTTTTATCAGGGAGCCTGAAAAAAAATTCAGAATAGCTTGTCAGTGACAATTTGTTTGAAAAGATGTTTGAAGGAAAGGAATATATAGATATATTGAAATAATATCGAATTTTTACTTATCTTTGGACGTTTCGAGACCGTTCTCAAGATGAAAATGCAAAATATTTCTCTTTGGAAGTTGTGCTGCTTATAGTTTGACACTTTTCAGTGTCACACTGATGTTGGCACATGAATGAGTGATTTTAGTCTATAAATGAGTAACAGAATGTTTTCATTATTTGATCTTGAATCTACCATTTTCATGTTCATATAGGAGTAACGATCTTCAAGAATAGCTCATTAGAAAACATGTAAAGCGTTTTCAATTGGAGACACATCAGTTTATTTCATCATCACAATAAGGATTACTAATCTGATCTGAGGTATCTTTTGTTCCAGGTACTCTTGCTGCCAGTAGCTCTCTGAGTACTTTGGGTAGCTACTACTCCGCACACACATCAGAAGGTCCCTCTCCCCGCTCCCCCAGTCCAGATACGCCACTAGATCCTGGATCGCCTGGTACAGGCGGTCGACATTCGCCCTCCGAAGACGAAGACACCATCCACGTATGAAGAAGCTTTCCGACGGATGGAACGTTGTGATATGCAGAGTGTACTATAGCTAAAAAATTGTTAATTTATTTTCTTCGCGCTTTCCAGTGTCAAGTGTAGGAGTGTGTACGGACGAATTTGTGTAATCAGAGATTACTTCGTCGTTTGGTGGAGTAACTTGGTCTTGACAAGTGTTTTCAATTTCGAAATGAACTGGGAGATGAGACCATACCGTGTAAATGAATTTTATAGGGATTTTTCATGTCTTGAAGGGCTATGAGGTGAGAGTTGAACGAAACAACAATTCCCAATCAATGAAATCAGGTTAGGTCTGGTACGAAAGAGGTAACTCCAATATTGATATATTCAAATACTAACTAGCTGTATGGACTGAGGGTTCCTCATAGTTTCTTGAGAGTGTTCAGCCTGTTGACAGTTCAGCAGCAGCAGATTGAACGCTTGGGCAGACGACCAATCATCATTCCGATGATGTTTGAGTGCGGAATTCAATCTCGAATCATAAGGTTGATAAGCCAACCAATATTGAACTACTGTTTTCCCAAATTTCATTGTCGAATAGAAAGAATAAGCTCTCTCCAATGGTCGATCTTCTATCATAGCGATAACGCTTGATCTACCGAACGTCGACGAGCACCTAGTTGTCATGTTATCTTTTCATCTGCTGGATTTGTTTCTTTATTGAAAATGAGAATGACAGAATAGAACTGACCAGTTCGCTAATCTCGGTCTATATCAATTCACATAAATTCAAAACTACGCCAATCTCATTCATCCATGTGGAAAACTTCCTGCTTTCTGCAATTGCCTGATTTTCGAGTACTACTGTATTTCACAAAATGAGCGTCTTCACCCGAATCGAATAACCGTCATCGATAACTCTTTGTTGTGTTTTATATCTTTTTTAATTGACTCTACTGTTACTTGATGAAAATCCATATAGTAAATGTAGCTTCACAAACGATAAGTTTACCACATAATTGTTAATAACACAAGTTTCGCTACACAGCTACACAGTAGCTTCTTCAAGTGGAATAACCATACAATAAACTGTATCGTATATCGTGTTATTGACAGTTTTGTGGAAATCTCACGTTGGTGAAGTTCATTACAATTTCTTTATCGATACTGAATCGATACGATTGAAGCTATGTTCTACACTACTTTTTGGATTGCATCATCTAGGTTCTAGAATTTGAAAAAGATTTAAGCATTCAAAATTTTAATAGAGTTTTCCTACAAGTTCTTCAAGTGGAATAATCATTCAATAAACTTTATTGTATGTCGTGTTATTGACAGTTTCGTGGAAATCTCACGTTGGTGAAGTTCATTACGATTTCTTCATCGATACTAAATCTAGGTTCTAGAATTTGAAAAAGATTTGAGCATTCATGATTTTGATAGAGTTTTCCTAAATCTAAAATCTTTGCTACTTGTACTTAGCTAAATATCTTCTAATACATTATTTTTTCCTCACTTTCATCACTGAAATGATATGTTCATTAGTCCCTCAAAACAGCGACTGAAATTACTCATTTGATTCATTGAGTTTGAAGTGAACACGAGCTGAGTAATTCGATCAATTTAAAGCAGAGTTACAAAAATTATCCATCTGGTACATGTCATTTGAAAATGTTACACTGACATGATTTTAAGTAATATTGGGAATAGATGTTTCTAAAGTGAGAGAAAAAGTGTACTCATAAACCTGAGACTGAATTAACTCAATTGTTATATAACTGATTATATCGCGAGGCATTTCCAAAAAAGATAGAAAGATGTAGACAAATTAAAAATGAGTTTTGTCTGCATAGTTGACACATGCATATTTGATTACAACCCAAACGTTATAATACTTCAAAACAAATTTGATCTAAAGAGTAGTTGTTTTCTGCTGAAGAAACCGAGAAAGAATTGATATTTTCATAACATAGAGAATGCGAATTCTCAATATAAACTACTCAACACTAATTTCGTCGCACACCAAAATGTCGCCCCTGTTATAATGTGAATAACTTTTTTCAGTTCAGAACAATTTGAATTTGGTTCACACTGTTCGATAGCCCAGTCCTTCAGCTATAATCTCGTACTTCATTGAAACATAAGGGTATTCACATAAAATCTCTACATGGTGTTTTCCGACACTGTGCGAAATTTCGGAATATTCAAAATGCTCTCAAATGGTGAAAACAAATTCTTTCTCAACTTCGACAACAGAGGCATGGAGATGATCTCATTATCTCGAGATATTTCGCGAATCAACTTCCTATCTCTCTTATTTACAGAGTGATCTCAAAAAATCATTTTTTTGGTTTTGCAGCCATAACTTTTTTCCACGTCAACCGATTTTGGGAATCTTCGGCTCATTTTGAAGATAAAACTTTAGATGAAGAGATCTGAATATCAGGATTGACTCAAGATGGCTATCAAAGATCTAGAGTTTTCTTGAAAGTGACCCAAATCTGGAACGCCCTCCGAATCTCGGTTGGGAGGAGAATTGAATGAAAATCAACTTGTTCTCGGAAAAACAATTCATTCTGTATGCGTCCATATTTTCCTCGTTCTCAGTACTCAAGAAAGTGCGTGATAAAACACAATTGAAACATGTTCTTGCAAAAACATCCGACCATTTCTCCTCTGCAATGCATGGCCCGTAACCAACGTTACAAGAATCACAGTAAGTGACTGACAAGTCAGGTTAGACGTCGTTTTCGAATCATAAACAGATTTTGATAGTTTTGATGCCGCATCTAACGCCCGACCAGTTGGAACTGATTCCACAAATGAGGAAACAAGGGTTATCTTCCCTGCAAATCGCGGATCTGCTAAACACGACAGTCCGATCCATTATTACTGTCGATTCGTTCGGCGCATTATTGCGACTGAAAACTTAACGTAATTGGCAAACTGTTTTCGTGAAACTTTCACCATTTTTGAAATGCGTTTTTACAATTAATAAACGTTGTTTGCTTGAATACTTCTTCATATTCTTAAATCGCATGTTATGTACCTGACAACTGTTAAAAAAATCACTTTATTGAAAAAATCAAAATCCGTTGCTCTTGTTGGTACACCATTTATGATGAGCCTCAGCTGGTCGGGTTTGTCAGTCACTCATTGTGATTCTTGTAACGTTGGTTACGGCGGGCCATGCATTACAGAGGAGAAATGATCTAATGTTTTTGCAAGAACATGTTTCAATTGTGTTTTCTCACGCACAATTCTTGACTACTGAGAGGTAGGAAAATATTTACGCATCCAGAATGAATTGTTTTTCCGAGAACAAGTTGATTTTCATTCAATTCTCCTCCCAACCAAGATTCGAAGGGCGTTCCAGATCTGGGTCACTTTCAAAAAAACTCTAGATCTTTGATAGTCATCTTGAGTCAATTCTGATATTCAGATCTGTTCATCTGAAGTTTCATCTTCAAAATGAGCCTAAGATTTCCGAAATCGGTTGACGTGGAAAAAAGTTATGGCTGCAAAACCAAAAAGTTGATTTTTTGAGATCACTCTGTAAATAAGAGAGATAGGAAGTTGATTCGCGAAATATCTCGAGGTAATGAGATCATCTTCATGCCTCTGTTGTCGAAGTAGAGAAAACAATGTTTGCACCATTTGAGAGCCTTTTGAATATTCCGAAATTTCGCACAGTGTCGGAAAACACCATGTAGAGATTTTATGTGAATACCCTTATGTTTCAATGAAGTACGAGATTATAGCTGAAGGAATGGGCTATCGAACAGTGTGAACCAAATTCAAATTGTTCTGAACTGAAAAAAGTTATTCACATTATAACAGGGGCGACATTTTGGTGTGCGACGAAATTAGTGTTGAGTAGTTTATTTCTTTATATGTATATATTTATTATTTTATGTTCAGAATTCATCTGTCAATTTTGTCTTATCCTCATATTGCTACTTCAATTCATGTGTATCCTTTCTGAATCAAGAAACGAATGCTCATCATTATACGGAGAATTTCGAATCCAGTTTTTATCGAAAAATTATAGATCTTGAAAATACTTGTAGGATCGACGTATTCCGTCGTTCATTGTATAAAACATTGCATTCTTTCCAAATGGTGATGTACTATCTCAATGTCACCGTGAATTATTGTGTATATTAAACGTACGATGTAAATGGTTCTGAAGACGCGATTGCAATGAGTGTATTGTAATCGTATTTTTCCTTTGTTCATTTTAGCTCAATGAGTACCTACCTATGTTTATCCATGTTAATATTAGAAAAATATAGAATAAAGGATTTTAAGTTTTTATTATCATCCTGGCTTTTATTTCACACCATTATTCCACTGAAGATTACGAATATAAAAAAAATCCAGCATTATTCTCGAGGATTTCATTCAGTTTCAAGCCGACGAATGGAATCAAGTCAACATGCTCGATGTGGTTTACATCACAATATCGTTATTTCACAGAGTTGTCTGTGACAGAATGATTTTGAATTATAGGAATACATTCGAATGATTATAATCCAAGATGGTTCTCGAAATGAAGATCAATAGTTATCTCGCACGTATCCTGAAAATACTGCGGAGAAGTCTGTTCCTATATATAATAATCGACAATGACAAAATGTTTTAGTTCTCTACTCTAATGGTTTTATGTTTCTTTTTGACTTTGCAGCTGCAGAAAAAAACTATCACTCCGTATACCTATTCGGTTCCTTCAGCACTTGTGGAAATAATTCCAGTATGTCCAACAGAAATACGTTTTGATATGTCCTAAACAATTTTCAAGAAGTTCCATAGCATTAATTGTTTTGGAGAACCTATTTTATCTGGGACATTTAAACCACGTATCTAGTGGAAAGTTCTTCATTACCATATCTGCATGTTTGGATCAATATTTTCTTCATAGTCCTTAGGAGATAGCAGATTCATTTTTTTTTTTCATTTTGTCGCAGTCGTGGTCGTCATAATGAACATTTTACTACCAGATATAATATCGAGTTTTCCAATTCCATTTTCAAATTTTCCAATGTTATTTTCGAGTTTTACAAAGATTGTTTCGTCCTTAGGAACATTTAGTATTATAACGTTTATAGTCCAGAGGGATTGGCATACATGAAGGATCACAGATTTCGCAAAGATCCTGAATGTCATCTTGAATAACTCAGTTGCGGAATTTAGCAGAGTTCATATAGGGAGAAAATACAATCAATCTACTCAACAAATCAGGAGTCGGAGCTTGCTATCTCATTGAACCTGTTAATTTACTTCGACGGGTTGAGAGAATCGTCAGAGTGTGGAACTGGTGTTTCTTTCCATTTGGTCAACGGATTTCTCGGGCGCCAGATTTTTGATAAAAGTGATTCAACCTACTCCTATACGAACTGAATCTGGAGGAGGCCAGGGCAGCTATAGTGAAAAGGCACAGACTGTGTCTATTGTAAACCAGGATCAATGTTATTGAATCGACCTGGTATCAAGGAGCCAAGGTAGTATAGACTGTTCGACAAACCCTGGGTTTCGCCTGGAATATTGGTTGCTATATTCATTCTGGATATTAACAAGTAATCAAGATTAATTTCTGTCATTTCAAGGTTGTTCTGGAAAAACACTCATTAAAAATATTGTATTAGTTTTACCTGGAGTATCAGAAACACGGTTCAATTTACGGAAACAGGTTCGATTCCAATTCATTTTCTTTTAATATTATGAGTTTTTCGTATTTTTGCAATCTCGGGATTTTAGTGAGCTGAATTATCTTTTCCATTGTTGTTGAATTTCC